AGTACTTGTGTATATGTATTTCAAAACTTGTTTCAAAACTCAGCACAAAAACAAGGAAGGTTGTGATTTCTATACACCGAGGCTGTGACTATGACCGAGTAATTTCTCCTGTTCGCTGTTGTTATCGTTTTGGAGTGAAAGCGGATTAGATTGATGAGTAGTACGCTTAGGATTGTTGATTTTGTTCCACACATTCTCTATACGGAAAAACGCCCATTGGAATCGCCTGTAAATCTCCAAGGCGGTGATGATGAAGACTGTGATGTAGTTGTTACGGAGATGAGCTGATAACTTATACGTCCATGTCCACCTTAGTACTAGATTGCTTCCGATTACCCACACATATACCTGTAAAACTCACACCAGTCACGAAGAAAGCAAACCGAAAAATCCCAAGATGACTGGAAACATTTAGCTAGTTTTCAATATCATGCAGTGTGGTTGGACAAGAAAATGAAACCAACAAAGTTTATTTTACCCAACGGCGTCCGCAGAGAAGATGGGAGCAAAGATTTGGTTTGGTGAATTTGAAAATCCGAGTGAAGACACTACAAGAAAGAAAGAGGTAAGAAACCTTAAATCTGACAAGTGAATCCAAGATTGGAGTAATCTGCTTTGAATTCACTGTACCTTAGATCCCAATCGCGTAAAACATCCCAAAAGAAGGAGAAGAAAGTGTTGGCTAGACCAAAGAGGATCCACGCCGGCTGAATGGAGTAAGTCCATGTATCCTGATTGATAAAATACTTGAGGGCGGAAAGAAAGATGACAGGCACTGCCGTTAAATATTTCCCAGCTGAAGATTCAAGTCAAAGACAGGGGAGAGATATTAGAAATCAGACGAAAGCCAAAAAGAAATGTCTCGGCTTTGGGATTAATACCATTCCAGATGTTTGCAACGTCCTTGCTATCTTTGTACTGACGAATGCATTGGAACAGCCGGAAAAGATAAGGTAGAACAAGAACCAAGGGAATTGCAGCAGAATGACTCCCGCAAACCGAATCGGCTTCAAACCATGCAACAGTAGCTACCTACAATGAATCTATCAGATTCACTGAATATGGAATAGATAATTTAGCCATAAGGAAGAGGAAAACTCACTGACCTGACGATGGACCATACGACATACTGAACGCTCCAGATCAGATAAGACCTGCAGAAAAGAAAAACTTTGTTCTTGTTCAAAAGTTGCATTCACCATATATAGATGAAGGACAAACAATTATGTTACCTTCGACATAGAAGTCAGGATATCAGCTAGAAAGAAGTCCGAAAAAGTCACTGTCTGTATGTGAAAACACCAAATGAAAGTTAGATGAGGTAAGCGAATCTTCAACACGGAAAAAAAAAGTATTCCTTTACCTGCACAGGGAAGAGTATTCGCCAAATAGTCCAAAGCAAGTAGTAGCGAGACGACATGTAGAAGATATCGAAAGGGATTATCAAAATTATCACAGCTGAGAAATACAAAACCACCTGGAAACATCGAAAAGGTAACTCTATGAACAAATGAATCAAAAGCCCTTTAATACAACATTAAAAGAAGATGCATCTATTACACTGGTTGAGATGCCGCCAACGATACATCTCCATGCGAGTATAGATACAGATATGCGGTCATGCTAGTCAATATTATTGTCGTCATCCACCTAGCGCACTGAGACACACTAGGAAATTTAGAAACGCTCAAACGCATGAAATATAAATGATCTATCTAAGAATCGTATACCTTCCATATCTCTTTGTGACTAAGATGATCTGGTCCTAGATAAAATATTGCTGCATAATCGACTCCAGACCGAGAAAAAACCCACAAATTAACACCCCAGAGCCAAACCATCATTGTCTGAAAATAATAGCATACATTAGGAAACACACGTAAAGGATTTTACTTACTGATTAGACAAATAAACTTACAATGAGAAGGAGAGGATTATAATACAGAAATGTCTCATAGAAGAACAGTTCTCGTGTGTCTATTCCCATTTTCATCACAGATTCCCATCCAATCTGCAAATTTGTTAACTTGATTATAGATCGCCAAGATTCAAAACCAGAACAACGGATACAAATCAAAAGCGAATAATTCAAAATCTCCAACCTTTCCACAAACATAAAGACCGCCAATATATATAGCAACCTGGAGAATCAAGAGTGTGGATCTCGAATCAGTTGGTTAGATGACATAATTAAGGAGAAAAAGTTTCGATTAAATGATCCTACGAAACCAAGCGAGAGAGCTCCTAAAGTGCATCATTAAACATGCTACAAAATCAAACTCTAGAGGAAATCCAGAAACTTTAAGTAAATGAACAAAACCTTGAGACTTTGAAGGAATACAGGAGTTCGCAATTTAGCAATTGTACTCAGAAACATACTTGCACTCTTCAAGTCATTTTCTCCTGTCGCAAAAAAACCAAAAAAGAAACTATCCTCAGTCACCATCTTACAATCATTTCCCTCAAAATCAATAAGCAGAACAGATTTCTCTAGTAGCCAAAGATAGAAACAAAAGGATAAAATTGCATACCAAGATTAGTGATAACGAGTTTGCTTCCAGATTTGCGTAAGTGAGGATTATTCACAGGCACAGACAATACACCCCCAAACATAGATGCTAAAAGCAAAACTCGTTTTGCCTGAAACCAATCAATCGCAGACAAATGACATAGCAAAACCTAACTCAGAAGAAATTCCACAAAACTACTGTATAATAACCATGAAAGTGAACCACTTTCCAAACAAAGAAGACAAAATGGTACCTTCCAAAAACAGGACTCTCTTGAAGAACAGTGAACAAGTTTCCAAAGTAGAAGACAAATCAAACCTTTGCAAAGGTGGAAACTTTACACCAATTTTTGCTTGCTTACTCTCTGAAGAAGAACAACAACGCGTGACACTGCTCAACATGAACAATCGCATCGAGAGATGATGATGTTAAAAACCCAATCGACACAACTGGGTTTACAGAAGAAAACAAAATCCATAAAAAAAATCCCAAATTTTCAGAGAAAACTATGGAATACTAAAAAAGAAAGATTCAATCTGAATCACATAAAAAGTTGATGGCTTTAAAGCGGCTTAAAGGATTAAAACACTTAAATTGGAGATTGAGATCTAAACCTAAAACCCTCTTTGTAATTTAGCGGAAAAAACATTAATAGAAACTCGCATTAATAAAAAAAAAAAAAAGCTCTTTCATTTTGCCCTGAAACGTGTGTACATTTGCGTTGACAATTTACGAGAGATTAGCAAAATGAAACTGTTACGTTTTGAGGATTAAGGAAGAGTTCAAACGCAAACCCAGAAAAAAGGAAACAATCAATAAAGTCCATTGCTTACCTTTCAAGAGAAGAAACGATTTGAAATGGAAAAAGATCGGAGAAAAGTAGAAACGTTTTGATGATTAATAATAACAACTTTAACAAGAAAAATGGGTCTTCAATATGATCAATGAGAGCGAGAGAGACAGAGAAAATCGAACGAGTTTTTGGTTAAAGAAAATCAAAATGTTTTGTTTTTGGTCAACGGTTTTATGTTTTTTTATTGACTTTAGCAAATTCATTAACGTAATCAAGGCCTATGTTGCATAGAATTATAAACAGGTATGCGAAAACGAAGCGTTTGGAAATGTGGAATCGATTTTTTAATTTTTTAGGAAGCGGCTACGTGTTGGAAGCGTG